CCACTTAGTTTCTGTAATGGCGGTGTAGACTAGGGCATGAGGAGAATGGGGTGAGCATTGGAAAGATCTGGGTTCTGGATGGTGTGACCACTCTGCTCCTGGGAAGCCAAGCTGTGACTCTCTCAATAGATTGGAATTCCAGCCTACACTATCAACCTCTGGGTTTTTACCAGCTTCTGACCTATTATGGCCGGAATGGGACTGGGGCAGTGGCATCCATGAAGCTGCTTCGGTGACACCAGTGTGCAGTCGGAGCCTGGCCAGCACCATCTTGGTCTCAGTCCCATGGAGCCGAGTCTCATGCTCCAGCCCTTCCCACTCCTAGTTTGCTGCAGACTCAGGAGAATGTGAACAGAATGTCCTCCTTGGCAGGCTGTATTCGTTTGCTATTTCCACTGTAACAAATGGCCATAAACCTAGTGGCTTAAACACTCATTAGCTTATAGTTCTGCAGGTCAGAAGTCAGATCCGTGTCTCCCTGGAGGGGCTGCGTTCCCTTCTGGAGGCTTGGGGGCAGGGGTGGGGTGGCTCCATCTCCTTGTCTTTTCCATTATCTAGAAGCCACTTGCATTCCTTGGTCGTGATCCCTTTCCTCCATCTTCAAAGTCAACACTCAGACCTCTGATCATCTTCCCATAGGCATATGTCCCACTGACTGGTAATAGCCAGGAGAGATTCTCTGCCTTTAAGGCCTCATGTGATTAGATTGGGACACTGGCTAATGCAGGATAATCTCTCCATCTCAGGGTCCTTAACTTCAATCACGTCTGCAAAGTCCCTTTTGTCCTGTGAGGTAACATAACTATAGGTCCCAGGGATTTGGATGAGGACATGTTTGGGGACCACAAACTGCCACACCGGTCCCGACACTGGCCCTTCCCTCCGCTCTGACTGTCCCGTGCATGGGGGCTCAGCTGATCCACATGACTCTCTGGGCATCCTTTCTTTGCAGCAGGTGCAGGGAAGGAGGAAGAGGAGCAGCTGCGTGTATGACTGAGGGTCTTCAGCCCAGGGCTGATCGGTAAGAAGGGTAAGAAAGCGCAGCGCACTTTCTACAACACTGGACGATGGTTACAGAACATTGAACAAAGAAAAGTCTATTTCATTTTGAAACGAAGAAAAGCCAGTGTTTGGCTTTGTTCTATAACTGTTTTCCAATGCTGATACCCTAGGGTTGATTACAGAGTTCAGAGGAACATGTGCAATTCTGTTCCATTTATACCGAAACTGGGGACTGACACAAAATCATGGTGAAGGTCAGGGGGCATTTAAGCAACGCGGATCCAGGCTGCAGTGAAAACGCCAGTGTCTTGGCTTCATTCACGCTGCTGGCCACAGTTCACCTAATAGCTACTTGCTCTGGCTGTCCTTTCACTTAGCCTTCTTGGGTGCCTATTGGTATTAAGTGCAGTCATGGGCCTGTTGGCTGTGTACTTCTAAATTAGAGCTCACGTGGAAGCCGAGGGCTTGGTCCTAGGCTTTTTGCTCAAGCACAGCCTCTCAGTCTTCAGCATGATGGAAAGCTTCAATTATTAGAGGCTTTCCAGGTAGATGAGCAAAATCTTTGCATTGAAGTCAATTTTGTTTGACACTATGGGGATTAACCCAAGATTTAGTATCTGCCCTCTCCCCAGTGGTCATGCATTTAGCTGTGTGCTCTTGGGAAAGTCACTCAACCTCTCTGAGGGCAGCGCCTCTCTTACAGCAGGTGTGTGATGACTGTGGAATGAACTCTGGGGTTGCTGAAAGGCTGGTGTGGTTGTGGGTTACAGGCTTCTTCGTGTGCAGGGAAGGGGGGACGTGGGAGCATGGGTGAGGCTTCCCCTGGCCTGGATCAGGAGCAGAAACATGAGCCGGCTGATCAGCCGAATGGAGAACCCAGGGGACAGAGAGATGCAAAGAGGCAAAGAGGGAAGGACCAATCACTTGTCAGTCTTGTGACCTCAACCCCGCCTTCACCTGGGCTGCCTGGACTGATTTTCTGTTTTGTGCACCCGAGAGATCTTTGTGTAGGATCCTTCAGAGTTAGGATTCGGGATGAGCACAGCATTCTGTGAATCAGACTGTTTTTAATACTTCCGGTGTTTTTATTTCGTATTCACCTTTGTTTCCTGTTAATACGATGAGTCTCTTAAAAATCTAAATTTAAAAGTCTAAATTTAGATGTGACAGTCTAAATTCTGATGCAGCCCTCCTAAGGAAACGGGGAAAGGATTCTTCTGAGCCTCGCACGTGTGAGCAGAGTTTCCAGGTTTCAGGGGCTCCTGCCTGACCAGCTTCTTCCCAGCTCATGCCTCGCCTTGGAGTGCTCATTGTTGGTGGGCTGGTCACTTCCTGTAGAGCCTCATTTCCTCTCTATAATATGAGGAGGTGGAAGTGGGGCCTTTCTATAGCCCAAGGCTCTGTGATCCTGAGAAAGCAAGCCGATCCCAGTGATCCTAAGGTGGGCACTGGAATCCAGTGAGAACCCAAGACACCAGGAGAGGGATCAGATACTCAGTCCGCCAAGCACTGGTCCTTCCTGCTTTTCCTTTTTCATAAACACAGGCCCCACATCTACCTCTACTTCTGCCTCCTCTCCTTTCCTGCCCTACTCCCTCCCTCTCGAGGCACTAAGTCCATTTGGTAAAGAAAAGATTGAAGGGAGCTCCCCTTCAGGAAGGAAGCCAGGGGGCTAAAATCAGAAGCAATTTCAGCTGGGCACACCAATTTCCCCTTCCGCCTCACACACCCTTCTCAGACCACCCTCCAATCTATTGTGTTCCCCACATTCCACTGAAGGATGCATCCCCTCCGTGCAACACGTCATGTAATTACTGATCACGCCACCTAACTGGAACAGAGGCTGGAAGGAAGAGAGAGGCGGCTTGTTGAGTCTGTTAGCCCAACCTTTGTTTATTGGGCGTCTTCCCAGTACAGAGCCGGTCACTGAATCACAGGACATCGGGGCTGCTGGAGCCCTAATAAATCATCCCGTCTGCCCCCCAGGACTTCACAGATGGCAGCACTCACATGGACAGGTTAAAGCACCTGCTTAAGGTCACACAGCAGAGCTAAGGCCAGAATTCAAGACGTCCTGTCACCAGTTTGCTGTGCTTTCCGCCCACCCTATGGCTGAGGGAAGATGCGGATGATTGATTAGCTTCTATGAGCACGTAAAGTGAAGGAAAACATGCAATTTCTCTTAAGTGCTCCAAATCACTAGGGGCCCAGGATACAAAAAAAGACAAACAGCAAAGGCATTTTTGGAAAGTGAAATTGGGAGTGTGGAGGCAACTCTTTCCTGCAAATGGTGATCACATTAGGAAAATGTGGGGGTAAATGGTTTTCTGGGGAGAAGGAGCCTTTATTGAATTGGTTTTCCTTCCCTGCTACATTTGCTCGTTCATCCGCCTTCCCGCCGGCACACAGCACTGTTCTCCTGCCATTCTTCTCTTCCTTGACATATTTATTACCTTATTTTCATATTATACTATAAACCTTGGTATACACAGCCTTTAAAGCAGCTATTTTTAATGCAGGATGACACGCCAAGCTTTGAACCCCCCAATAAAATTGACCGGGGACATTTGGCACTAAAATGCTTACACTTCCTCCCTAGAGAAGCCAGCTCTCTCTGTTTGCTATCTTTAAAAAGTAGCATAGGAATGGAAATAGGTTGACATTTTGAAAACAAGAAAACAGTGACCAAAAAATCTTATTTTTCCATTTCAAGTTAAAGTCCTCAAGATAGATTGTTTGACATTGAGAGTTGACATTTGACACAATCGTTTGTTTTCATATATTTGACTCTGGCTACATACAAGGGCCAGGTAACTCATCTACTAATTTTTCTTCAGAGGAATAGAAGATGGTCCTAAATGTGTCATTGGAATTCAATGCTAAAAGTACAAATGTTATAAGTTTTTATGAAAATAAATGATGTGTGCTTATTTTTTTCGACAGTTGAAAAATAAATATTTAGGGTCTTTGATATAATAATCTTGGTTAAAATACTGCTCCTGGAGATCCTTGGGGAATTTCGAAGGATCTGGTGGCTCTCTGGTTGTTGTCAGGGATATGTGTTTTTACTTTTTAGATGGGGAGCAATTAAGTTGTGTCACAGTTTCTCAGTAGGAGGCGCGGAGGTCTGTGCTAGTTTCCGTTGCTAGGGTTAAGCTGTGGGTCTGCGGGGAAGGAGGGGTCATCTCGCGTCTGAGGTTGGTGGAGAGTGAGATAATTATCTTGCCTTTATGGCTCCTGGTCAAAATTCCATTTATTGAGATTTGTGCTTCTTTGCTTTTCTGATTGTTTGCTTATTATCTGTCAATATTTGTATATCTGCTTTAGGGAGAGATAGGTTTCTCCTATTATTATGAAGTAAGATTGACTTATTATCCCAGATAAGAGAAGAGGTTGAGATTGGATGTCAGTATGAATGCTCGATTTCTACCCTAACTAAAATAATAGAATGGACTGGGGACAGTCACCTGGTGCTCTGCTGACTGATAGAGGCCACTCCCCTCCCCACCCATTCTTCCCCATTGCCTGGTGAGCTATTCCAATACCACTGCAGAAGCCGAAGGTCACATGGAGAAAAGAGAAAGGTCAACCTACAGCACTGTATCTTCTGGGCATCTTACCTATTGGTGTAGAGGGGGGAGCACAGGGTACAGAACACCTTCTTCATCTACAGATATGAAATTGAGGACGAGAGAGGCGAAGGCCTAGCCTGAAGCCACGTGCTTGTTATTGGCAGAGCTAAGACTTGATTCCAGCTCTCCTCATTCCCAAATAAATGCCATCATTTGCCTACCAATCATAAGTGCAAATGCCATTTACTTCCAAATGTTCATTAACCTGTCCTTCCCTTCTGGAAGAATCAAATTTCTTAAATGGTACCTGAATTGCTTTAGTTTTCTTTACTTACATTTGTATTAGGGAAGACCATGAATTTATGCTCTAGGATGCGCTGGTAGTATTTGTGGCACACAATTATCACTTGGTTTCACAGCACTTACCCATACTGAACAATACCCATCAGCGGACCAGCAGGGCCAATGTCCAGAGCCTGGGCAACATCAGCCAGGAACTGCTTTTGGATTCGGAATCGACGTTTGCCAATGCTTGAGCTCCCATCAATTACAAATGACAAGTCAACTTTGCAGTCTGAGAAATGGAAAAGGGCTCTGTTATTCTGATGGTCTCTCACTGCATTAACCTGGCTATTCTCTCCCTCCCTCTTTCTCCACCAGAGGCCCCCTCAGAATCCACTGAAAAGAAAATAAAAAGCAGTGGCCAGATACAGGATATATTCACTTATTTATATTCCTAACAGATTTTCATTGGGCACCAAGGTCCGGGACACTTGGGCTAGTACTTATTTCTCTAACTGCTTTAGAATTCTCTGCACCGGCCACATTGATAGACTTCAGAAGCAATGACCTCCCATTCAAGCTTGGGAATTCAGGAGGATGGTTTCCTTGGCTCAGACCACGTGAGTGCAGACCCCTAGATGTAGAATTCACCAAGACTGAGTCTCAGGAGCCGGTGCTCTCTAACTCCCAGCTTAAGTTTGTAGCATTATGTGTTGGGTCTTTATAAAGGCATGAAAAAATCAGCAAGGCCAGTGCTGAGGGGAGGGAAGGAATGGTAGAATGCAAAATTGATACCAATCTCCTCCTTCATGTCCTCAGGTAAGGCAACCATAGAATTAACCATAGAATTATCTATACCTATCAGGACTTGTTTGTAGCAGTCTTTGAACTCTTCCCTTTCTTTTAGTTGTGATAAAAACTAGGACATTTTTCTGGCTTGGATTCCTGGACTTCCATGAATATATGCAGGTTAAGTTGGAGGTGGGAGCGAAGAGCTATTCTCAGTCTTTCAAATGCTGCAGGAATTGGTGGAAAGCCACATAGGCTAATAGTAGTGTCTTCTTTGCTCTTGACTGAAATTGCATCATCTTAGTATGATAAAACGGATTATTCAAAGCTGATCAGAAGTTCTTATTGGGAGGTATATATCCATTTGATTAATTAACAAATGGGGAGGGGGCGCCTGGGTGGCTTAGTTGGTTAAGTGTCTGACTTTGGTTCAGGTCATGATCTCACGGATCGTGGGTTTGAGCCCCACATCAGGCTCTGCACTGACAGCTCAGAGCCTGGAGCCTGCTTCGGATTCTGTGTGTGTGTGTGTCTCTCTGCCCCTCCCCTGCTTGTGCTCTCTTTCTCTCTCTCTGAAAAATAAATACACATTTTAAAAAATGGGGAACGAATTGTTTCACAACTGCAATTCGGAAGACAAAAATATTTCAAAGCAGAGTTGCATGGTGGGGCAGGGAAGAGGAGGGGACAGTAAAATTAGGAACCTCTGGGCTGGAGCATCTAGGGGGACATGGGGACCAGGGTTGCCCTTTGTGCTCGGTAGTGCGGAGCTTGCCTGAACAAGCCCGGATCTCTTTAAGGTGCCACACGATCGATCACCCATGCGGCCACTCAATTATATATATATATAATATATAAAAAATGGACATGGGTTGACCCAGTTTTCAGCAGATCTGATGGGAAATATTTATCAAAGAGTGATACTACGGAATTGGCAGATTAAGGGACAAAAGTTATATCTGAGAACGTGTGTCAGTATCTTGCTCTGGTGCACGGCAATGAAAGCCATGGGGGACGTAGGCAATGACAGGGACCTCTCTGGGCCTGCCTGATTCAGCTCCACCTGGAATTAGTGCCTTGGCTCATTAGTGGATCTTGCAAACTTTTACCTCCTGGCTGCCTGGACATTCAGTGCCTGCCAGCTCTTCCTTGTCTGCTGACTTCCCCTGTGCTTTGCTGCTGCCCCCAAACTGCCTATACCCCAAGTACGATCCTTGAGATGAAGACTGGAGGCATCAAAGAAAATCAAGAAGTGAAGCTCAAAGATGCCACAGAAGCCTGGGAAAAAGCAGAAGAGAAGCAGAGTAGTTCTAGGACTAGTGATGTACCCCACGCAAGGGCCAACCCAGTCCTTCCTATGTCCGAGCTTGCAATGAGAATTGTTGCCAGCAGGTGGCAGTGGTGTTCTTCAGGGCTTGCGACTCACCAGACACCTGTGGTTTGCTTAGAAATGAGGACTCCTGGGCTCCACCCAGATCTACAGAATCAGATCCCCAGGTCAACAAGATTTCCAGGTGATCTGTATGCACATTAAAGTTTGGGAAGCACTCCTGACCAGGGCTTTTTCTTCTAGATGTCAGTAGATTAGTTCAATATGCCTTTTAAAATGAAAACTTTTAAAAAAATAATAACTGTTAATTAGAATAAGGCCCAAAGGTGATTTTCTTTCTTTTTTAAAAAAATGTTTACTTATTTCTGAGCGGGGGAGGGGCAGTGAGAGAAGGACACAGGATCCTAGGCGGGCAGCACGCAGACAGCAAAGAGCCCGATGAAGGACTTGAACTCAGGAACTGGGAGATCATGACCTGAGCCGAAACTGGATGCTTAACCGACTGAGGCACCCAGGTACTCCGAAGGTGACTTTCTTTTTAAATAAATAAAGCACATGGGGCGAGGGGGGCGTGACAAGCTCACTTGGTAGAACTTTGACTCTTGATCTCAGGGTTGTGATTTCAAGCCCCATGTTGGGTGTAGAGCCTACTTAAATAAAGCAATAGATTTTGAGCCTCTCTTTTGCTTCTTCATGGACAATTTTTTCTCATTTCTTACAACTTGAACTGCTTTCAGGATTGAAGCATTCCATTTCCTGGCTAGGCTTTTATGAAGTTGAGATGCTCTCTATTTGCTTAGCTCTCTTTACTACTACCTGATGGCTGACAATGGATTCACCTGTGCTCTCCATTTCCCAGAATGCGTTAATGACGCCTGCTTTCAGCTCTGCGCATGTGCTCACTGAGACACAGTGGCTTTCTCGTACTGAGATGAAAACATGTGGCTACAAAGATGGCATCAATACTAGAGAACAGAATTGAGTTACTAAGTGTTCAGCATGAGCAATTTATTACGGTCACAGAGGACAGAGGTTGGAAGACAAGCAAGAAACGGTAAGACTTAGTATCTACAGGAATCAATCCACCAATTTTCTTAATTGCTTTGGTTTTCTCCAACATGATACAATCTTATAGATTAATGCTTTGTGTTGTCTAATACATTAGGCCAGTGTTTCTTAACCCTGGGTATATATCAGAGTTGTTTATGCAGCTTCAACAAATAAAAATGCCTGGGAATCATTCAGGGCTGTTCTTCTTAAGGTTTGATGTGCAAAGAAATCACTTGATTCACAAGGTCTGAGGTAGAGCATGGGATTTTGCACTTCCAACAGGCCTCCAGGTGATGCTGATGTGGTCAGACCACACACCGAGTAGCAAGATCTAGGGTGAGTGTGATTCAGTAGGTAGGAGCCGGGAGTTGGGCATCTTGAGTTTTTAAAAATGTCTTCAGGTGATTCTCATATACAGCGGGGTTGGGACTCATAGCTCACTGGTGGCTGACTGGCAGCCACTTTCTAGGGGAATCTTTGAGTGCTCTCGTTGGCCTGTAAAGCTCAACTACCTCTTGGTTTTCCTCTTTTTCCCTGATCCTTCCATTCTGGTATCCTCAGGTGGCTTCTCCACCTGTCTTAGTGCTGAAGTTCTTCAAGATTTTTCACTTTTTAAAAATTTATTTATTTTGAGAGAGAGTAGGGAAGAGGTAGAGATAGAGAATATCCCAAGCAGGCTCCACACTGTCAGCACAGAGACCAACACAGGGCTCAATCTTGCAAACTGTGAGATCATGCCTGGAGCTGAAATCAAGAGTCAGACGCTCAACTGATTGAGGCTCCCAGGTGCCCCCGAATTTCTTCACATTTAAGCCCTCTGGTTTCCCTAGGTCACCTTTCCTGTCCTCATGACCTTGGTTTTAAACCCTAGCTTATCATCTTCCAACTCTGAATTCCCGGGGTGGAGGCCCCAGCTGCTCAAATCCTCTTCATCTGCTTCCTCTCTCATACCTCCACCTCCAGCCCTCTAGTCTGTTCCTCTCCATTTCCTGAATCTGCCTGTTTCTCCCCATTTCCAACTACAGCTCGGAGCTCTGTCTGCCCCTCATGTCCAGTAAGCCCCTGGCCCTGTTGGCAGGCCAGTCCCCTCTACCCCCCCCACTTTTATCTCCCTTTTCCATCCCACCCTGTTTCCATAGTGATGTTTAAAAAATCTGATCCTCTTCGCCTTGTGCACACAGTTTAAATCCTCTGTAAGCTTCCCTTTCCCCTTAGAACAAAGTGACAGAAGAGAGGAGATCAATAGATCCAGGGTGGGAAAGAGGTGGGTTTGGGTGGGAGTGAGCGGGGAGAGAGGAGAGCAGATCGGATGTCACAGCCATTATGGGCTTCTAGTTGTTCGTTAACTTACTTGGATCTCCCTGGGATAGCGGCTCCAAAGCTTGTGTGCTTAATTCTTCTTTTGGAACAAATCCTGGAAAGAGCAGTAAAACTTTTGGTGACTTACACGAACAGGAAGCATCTGGCCTTACCCCAGGGATGGGGACATAATGGATATTCACACCCAGCTGCAGGGCGAGGGGCTTGGCTACAGGCTGACTGTTCTCCACACCACCCCCCACCTTGAGAGAGAAGACTGAATTACTGGCAGCCTACAAAAGGCACGGTACTCTCGTGGGTGCTCAGAGGGGTTGAAGTCAGAAGACTTGAGTTCTGTTCCCTACTGCCTGTTAATGGAGTCTATCTGAGCCCGAGTTTCCTTACCTGCAAGCAGTAAGCACTTTGCCAGTGTGAACTGTCCCTCTGTGAAATGCTGAAAATGTCAAGGTCAGGGCATGTGTCTCGCTCATCACATAAACCTTCACGGTGCCTATCACCATAGGTCCTCAGTCTACATTTGATGACTGAGTCACTAAACAAAGATGGGTGAGACACATGGCCAGTCTAATGGGGGGCAGATATAGGCTGCAGAGCAGGAGATAAGCTACCAGTAACTCAAATAAGAGGGTCTAGAATGCAACCCCTCCCCTCCATAGCCCAAGATTAGAGGGTTTTGTGCTTTTAGTGTGTGTGTGTGTGTGTGTGTGTGTGTGTGTGTCTGTGTGTCTGTGTGTCCAGAGTTTGCTTTAGAGCCATGTATATGGAAGCCAAGTTCACAAATGTATCATCGAAGGGAATAAAGACCATCAGTGAGATGTTGGGAAGGCCAGTGAGCTTCTCAGGCAGCACCGGAAGTTGGTCAGTTGGTCTCCCTGTTTTCAGCATGCCCGGAGTGCGGGGTGCCCTCCCAGAAGCTCTGTCAGAGGAGGGAAGTGTGGGGGGCTCTGCTCTGCTCTTGGCTGCGGCGAGCTTTCTCCAGGCTTGTTAGTTTTTCCAATTTGCCAAGCGCATGATTTCATCTTTCCATGAAAGGTCAGTCTGCTCATCCCACTTCCTCACATCATTTAAAAAATTTGCTTTGGGTGTCTAACGACATTTCTAAGCCAGGAGCCTCTCAGGAAAACTGTCCAAGGCTCCACGTGGAGGGAGGGGGGGAAGAAACGTGAGGCCAGAGGCCTCTCCTCCACCCCGTCTTCCCCTGCCAATAAAATGTGCCCCCAGACCGAGAGCCAGAAGGCTGTGTTTGCCGCTGGAGTTTCAGACACTTAATTCAGTAAACAGCGAGCAACACTTTTTCATGTGAAGAGCCAAGCTGAATACCACCTTGCAAAGAAGGACGGGGAAACAGGAGGAAGTCAGAGTGTGCTTCGAGACGGAGTGAGCCTTTAAACCTACTTTTGGGGTGAGGAACTCCCTCCCTTGGACATCTTTGTCTTCATGATTCTCATCCCTTTTGTCATCCAGTGGACAACAGTGACCTCTGCCCCAACAGCTGGATTCTCAGACTCTCCTAATTCCGTAGTCCTCTGTCTCCATCTAGTCATGGCCAGGAGGTTGGGCTGTGTAGTTACCTGCATCTAAAAGGACCGATCCAGGCTTCCACGGGTCCATTTCCCCTGATTTTCGAAATTAAAAAGAAGCAAACTTGTTATTTAGGTGAAACCAGGGGAAACTTTCAAGTGAACTGCCCGGATGATAACATTTTCTACGTGTGGCATAAAGTTCAATAAAGGAACACGAGACCAGACTTTAGGATGAGACCGCCTAAAACCTATAGGATTTTTCTCATGGGAAGCTCTGAAAACCAAAGACGAGAACATCTTTGCCCTTTCTTTCTTTCACTGAGCACCAAGAATCATGGAATATAAAAATCTCGGGATTCAAGGGGACCTAAGAACTCATCCAATCCAAACCAACCTCTTCAGCATGTTTCTACAACATCGCTACCAAGTGAGCGGATGGCTGGTGCTTGGATACCTCCAAAGACAGGGAACTCGTTACATACCCAACCAAGACAGTGCATTTCTTTTTGGGCCTTTGAGACTGTAGAACATTTTTCATTGAGTTGATCTGAAATCTTAATCCATCCCTCCATCCACACTTATTAAGCACCTAGTATATACCCAATATCATTTTAGGTACATTTGACCCACCCGTCGACTTTATGTTCTCTTCCTTAGAACAAATTTGGCCCTTTCGGGGACCAGTACACTCATTTCCTGAGGCTCTGCTTCTCACTGTGTGCCTCATGCAGAATAAAGCAGAGTGGCACTGGCCATTTCTATTTGCAGTAAAATGGTTAATGCCCCCACTATAAACTGGTGTTGATAAAGTGGAAGGGGTGGTCAAAAAGTGGGGGATTCCTACCCAATAGTCCCTGACGTCTTTAGGGGACTCATGGCCAGGAGGGGCTCAGAAGCAGCACAAATGTGTTACGAAGCCTCATAAGGAAACCAAAATAGCTGTTTCTCTTCCTCTGTCCGTTCCTTCTGTCCCCACCCCCCACCCCCAGCTCAGAAAGCTGAAAGCTGAGGGCGTAATCAGCCCATCAGCTTTGCTGCATGCTGAAATGATTAACACACCCAAAAGAAGTGATGTTTTCCTTCATAGGATTAACATACCAGGCTATTTTGAAAGGCCGTCTGCGTTCGTGCACATTCTGATTTAGTGGTGAGAACTGAGTTCAATCTGGCTCCGCCATTAACCAGGCGTACACCTTAAACATGTCCCCTACCCTCCTTGAACCTTCATTTCTTTGCGAATCACATTATCAGGTTGGGTGAAATGATCTCCCAGTTCAAATACTTGTGATTTATAGGTTTAAACGGTCGGCTAGCCTCGTTTCTCTATCACCACCTACTGGTGAAAACATGCACTTCGCCCTTTCCCTGAAGAATGAGTCTGGTAGCATCTCAGTTTTTGCCCAAGGCTATCAGCACCCTTGAATGCTACAGAGAATTAGAATTCTGGGCAAGGAATGGGAATTCTCTCTCTTTAGCAGAAGAGAGACAGTTCCCTGACAGCAGAGATTTCTAAGCCCTTCCTTGTCTCCAGGGAGCCTGTCTTTCTATTGGTGCCACTTATATTTGCTCGGGACAAGTATGAACCAAATCACTTATCTGAAAGCTGAGGGCTGAAAAATATTTGGACGGCTGAGACTAGGTGGTTTTTGGACTTGGTAGTCATGGGAAGCAAGTCTGTGAGGACATTTACGTTCTGGTGTTGAAGAGTAACCAGGTAATGTGAGGCTAAAGAGCATTGGAAGATCGATCCTATGTCTACCCAGCCTTAGCTGGGAGGCCGGGGGACTCGCCTGCCTTCTCTGGCCTTAAGTTTTCTCCTGTATAAAGATGAGGTCATGAACACCTGTCCTGACCTGCCTCCCATGGAGGTAAATGTGTACAAAATCACCCCTAGAAGTAAGGCAGTCTTAAAAAAAAAAAGGACTTATTTGTGTGATGATACTTGCTTGGTCATCTCATAGATCCAGCCAGTGTCTAAGGCTCTCAAGGATTTCCATGGTAAAAATGTAGAACTGTTAACATTTACTGAGAGCATGTTTGGTGTCAGGCACTGGCCAAGCACTTTGCAAGTTTAAGTCACAGCAGCCCCGTGAGTTAGGTTACAGCTGCGACCCCATGTTACAGGTGAGGAAGCTGAGGCCCAGGGAGAGGTAGAGCAGAACTTGGAGCCCAGGCTCCAGAGCCTACACTTAGTCACTACCTGTCTATCACACATTAGTGGTCATTGTCACTCAGCATCTCAGGATCCTTAGCCACTGAAGGGCACACTATCTGGCACACTCTGTGACTCATGCTAAAAGCGTGGGCCCCCCAGATCGCTGCTCTGAGACCCTGGTCATGATCTCTGCACTGATGACAGCTTCCATTCCCTGCACATCTGGATGTCACCCGCACAGGACCCAAGCGGGAGCTACAATGGGGTCCTTACGGCTGTAAAGTTTTATGGGGCAGAAGCACAGGTGACCCTTCGCTCCCCTGGTTTCTGTCCAGAGAGTCCCCTGGAGTGTGAGTATTAGGAGGTGGACGTCTGAGAGGCAGCTGGCCTCCGGAGCTGGGCGCCTCCATACCTCCCACCCGTTGGCCTGGTTCCCTGCCTTGAGCCGCACAATTCCCGTGGATAGTCCCTCTTGCTGTCGTGACGTGGCAGGCACTCGGAGAGCTGCTGGCTGTGAGAGACGTCACTGTGCCAGGGGCCCACTGCATGAGGGCTATCAGAGAAGGCTGAGGACAGTCCAAGGTTCTCGGCCCTTGATCCGTCACTGACGCATCAGCAGTGCTGGGTTTACAGACAGGTTACCCTCCAAGCTCTGTGTGGGATATTGGTTTGGGACCTGGCAGCCTTTTCTCATGCAAACAACATTAATTCCATGGTTGGGTTTCCAGGCCAGTGAAGCTTATTGGATCAAACACTGTAGCGCGGAGCCAGACAGCAGAAGTAGAATGGTTTTGAGGAAAAGTCAGCGAGTTCTAACGGATATAAATCCTCAGAGGCACCCTTCCTTCCCCCTGGAAAGACAGCTGGAGTGGCCACGCTAGCAAGGTGGCTCCTGTCCCCACTCAGAGGGTGCTAGAAGGAGGGGCAGGGCCTGGCAGCAGAGGTCAGAGGGGGCAGTGGCCTTACTGGTTGCTCTGAAGGACCACAGTATGGGATCTACCTGGAAAGGCAGAAGTCCCAGAGGCAGAATTCTAGACTCTGAAAAGATCTTATTTGTCTTCATAGTTCTAATGCAAAGCACAGTGACATCCGGCACACTCAGGAAATAGAATTTCCTTTAACTGAAGAACAGGTCCTCTGCAGTGGGGGTGGTGGCTTAAATCGGGGGTGTGTGAAGTTACATCAGTGGGCAGAAGGCACAGCAGGAGGTGAGTTTTAAGTCTGGTGTCCTGTGGAGGAGAAGATGAAGTGCTGAGGTCAAGATAACCTCCGTAGGTCCATATATAGCTGCCTGTGTCTGTTAATGGGTTGCCTTAAACACAGGTATTTAGTGGGACTGGTGAGATTTGATCTCATGGTTTATGGGGTTCAAGCCCCGCGTTGGGCTCTGTGCTGACACCTAGCCCAGAGCCTGTTTCACGTTCTGTGTCTCCCTCTCTCTGACCCTCCCCTGCTCATGCTGTCTCTCTCAGAAATAAATAAAACATTAAAAAATGACTGAAGACCCCAAAGGGCTCTTGTTTGTGTGGCTATTGTTTTTATCCTACTAAAAATCAAAATGTTTGGTCATTTGAAACAGAATATTAACTATTTCACCATTTAATACACTTTTTTTAAATAATGAGAAATAGCTATTTTCCAAAATAATTCAGTGATAAGGGTGACAAATTTCTTCAATGTCTGGCGTAACAAAAGACTGTCTGAGTCTGGTATCTGTTCCTCAGTCTGCTGGGACATGTTTTGGTTGAAGGACAAGAAGAAAGTCTGGCCTCACTCAGTTGCGCGGTGGGAAGAGGGAGGGCATCCCAGGATCCCTGTACACAGGGTCCTCGGGCCTCACTTTGAGATGCACTAGTTTAGTCAAATTAGGATCAATGGGCCTAAGTTCTAGATTGTTATGTCTGACAGTGAGGGGGCTGGGAACCCCCTGACCGCTCATACAAAGTTATCCGACGTGGGGCAAAAGCCTCTCTCTGGCATGTTTGGTGGGGAATCAGACTGGGTGCACTTGATGCAATTCTTCCCCATTCCACGTTTCAGTGATTTTCTAGCTGAAGAACTGGGTGACTCACGATTACCTCCGAGGTGAGAACTGACAGAGGGCCTCTCAGAGCCCCAGATGTTCTGATCTGCCTTCGCTCACGGTTTCTGATGACTTCTGCCTGCCTGCAGGGGCCCTAACGAGGCTGCAGGGCCAGTGAGGTGTGGGTGCCCACCCTGGGAGTGGGTGGGATGCTCAGAGCAAAGCTCCAGGGATGACGGAGAGGGAGAAGAATGGCAGAAATGGGTAGGATTTGAGGATACAAAGGCATCTGGAGCACTTGGGAGGCTCAGGGAGACGGAGAGATGGAGCATAATGGCTGGGAGCACGGAAGAGAGAGGGAAAGGAATGAGGACTCAGAGCGAGAGAACTAGGGAGGTAGGGTTAGAAAAAGGGAATGGGGTCAATCTCTGAAAGTAACCTGGGGTTCTTGGGAGTCAAAAGTAGGGGCTGGAGATCAGATAACGTGCCTCATTGCCAACCACCCCCTGAGCCACGTCTGACTTGCGGTGTATCTGAGCTCCACCCCAGAGGCAGGTCCCGGGGTGTGCAAGGTGCGGGCACAGGCTGCCCAGCCGGGGGGGGGCCTTTCAAACAGACCCAACCGAGGAGCCCTACTGGGTGTCTGCACGGCCAGAGATGTTTCTCTTTGATGCACAGAGAACAGACAAAGCAAATAGACGTTTTCTAGAGGGTACAACGCCTTGGCAAGCCCCCAGACTCTGCCGATGTGGCGCGGTGAGCTGCGTGGGTCCAGCGGCCAGGGCAGGGGCAGTGCGGTATTTGCACGGGTGGTGGAGCATGGCTGGTGAGCCCTGGGCAGCTTTCCCGGGCTGACCTGTGCTCCAGCAGCCTTCTGGAAAGCAGCTCTGGGAGAATCCGACTTTGGATACCTGAAGGGATCACACGGCATTGGCTGATTCAGGTGCAACCAGCAGTCTGCCCTCCCCTCCTAATCTGCCCCTTGATATAAGTGACCCTGGTTCAGACCTTCCTTGGAAGTCAGCCAAGCCATGTGAACTTGGCTCTTCTTCTGGGGCTTGGGGAGGAGGCAGAGATGCTAGCTAAGGGGACAGGAGTGGGGAGTGCCCAGCGCTGGGCTGCCTGGAGGGGCCCATGGGCCTGTTGAAGGCTAGGGTGGCCTTGGAATCCTTGCTTTGCCCAGAGATCTGATTCTTAAAACCCTTTGTCCAGGACAACAGCATGTGCTTTGGCAAAGGTACAGGCGTGCAGCAGCTAGGTGGGGGGTCACATAGGGCCCCTGCTCCGATCCGGTATCAAAGCAAAACAGAACCTACAGCCTCTAGGAATCTTTTAACATGTGGAGGACAGACTGGTATCTCCCAGCAAGAGTAAAACCTAAACTCTTTTCCTTGGGAGACCTAGGCCCCACGTGGCAGTGCCCTGTGGCTGTAAAAGGTTTTGTGTACCGATATCAAGTGGCTCAGCTTCCCCTGAGCACAGTTTGTAGAAAGCACCTGGCCCTGCTCGATTTTCCTTTCTAATCTCTGCAGGCCTCAAGGACATTGCAGAGAAGAGAACTTGCCTCATCCCTCTGCAAGCCCAGGGCTTGGACCAAACCTTTAAGGGATGCACATGGGCGTGAAGAAAGGGTTGCCAGAAGTGTCACAATTCATAGAATTCCTGGAGGAGAGAGAATTGCTCTATTCCCCATATCATAGAATTACCCCAGCAAGACTGGCTCTGCCCTTTGCTAGACAAAGACAGTTTTTTTTCTCTTTCTTTTGCCCTAGTTCCTCAAGCATAAACCCCAGAGAGTATCCCTTTTCAGGTTTATAAGAGCCTAGTTACTGAATCCTTAGGAATTTCCATCATACCCTCCACAGAACTGCCTCGAGGGAATGGCCGTAGGTGAAAGCTTTGCTTTCCTTTCAAGTTTCCTCACAGGCTGGGCCCCTCAGCAGTATCTCCTGTTGGCGTAACTGGTTTAATGCTCTCTGTCCAAATCTAAATCAGACGGCAAGGATCTGGAACAACAAAGCCCATGTAAACACTCTTAACTTCCATCAGTTGCTAGAAAGGTGAGTTCAGGTTCTTACCTGGATCGGCGCGGGGGCTGTTCTGGCTGCTCATGTAAGTGCTGGTGGCCCCGAGATCTGTAATAACATTTGACCGGTCAGAGCATGAATTTTCATCGAACTGTTCTCATTCTTTCCATGATCCAACCTAGCAAGACATTACCAAGGTCAGAGCTAAGGTAAAGCTTTGTCCTTGGGTGTTCTGAAATTACCCCGACCAAGGAGGCATTGAAATGGAAAAAAAAGGGGGAGGGGGAGTGTTTAACTCAAAATACTGACTGAAAATCCCACATAATAATCACCCTTGTATTTCACAATTGTCAACGTAAATATCTTTTACTAAGGTGCCATATTTCTTTTACACTTTGTTATTCTTATAATAATTCTCAACGGCACCACTCCTGAGGAGGTTAAAGAAATCCTTCAATAGCAATGTCACTTAACATTTAGCAATTTGCTTAAATGGTGTTAACATGGTACTGACGCAAACTGGAAAAATGAGCTGAGAGAAAGAACCAAGTTTCATGGAGGGGAAGAGATAAATGGTCACAGAACAATAGCAGTTTCTCTTAACCCCGATCTATCGACAAGTCAATGATTCCCTTCCTTCGGCTCTGTTGCAGTTACTTGAATACAAACGCAAAATAGCTTTGTTTTCTCTCATTGTAACCATAGCATGTGCTCCCAGTGAAAATACATACCATGTATGCAAGATTGCACCTGCGATTCCTCTATCCTGCGGTTGCTGGTACACAACTGTGGTACAAAGTGTCATATCCCTTCCTCCGTGCGCACATTCTCACTACAATGCCCCAGCACCATGCTGTTTTGTTTCTTCCTCCTTTGAGCTAACAACCTATCCCAGGCCAATCTCCCATCAATAAGGGCACAGATTCACCAAAATGGTAATAGCTGTGTGGTAATTGCTCTAACCGTTCTGATGGTGGACGATTAAATCGCTGGTACTTCTTTTACTATTAGGAATGGCATCTGGGTCCAGACCCCTTGTTCCTCTCAGACAATAATTACCTCAGGATATATTCCTGTAAGTGCAAATTCTGGGTCATTTCTCTACACTCTTGCCCACACCATGTACCCTCAGTTTCTCATGTGAATTGGTGACAAATGCGATGGTATTGTTCAATTTGCATTTATTTGATCGCCGGGGAGGTTGAACATGTTTTTGTTATGTTTATTGGTCATTTACAGTTCTTGCACTATGGTTGCCTGGTCATGGCCTTCACCCATTTTTCCATGAGAACGTTCATCTTTTTCTTACGAGTCATAAGACTGGATTTGAAGACAAACGTTCTCCAGATACCGTAAAGAAAGATACGCTTTCGGAAAGGAGATAAATGGCGAGAAGGGATATTGTACGCAGAGGGGATGGGCAGTCAAAGATGCTGGTCTCCTTCCTGCCCCTGTGTCCCCGCTTCCTCCTCCCTGGAAAGGTGAATGACCCACAGCTTCCTGCAGGCCTTGCCACTTGGCGGCGCTCTGCTCCCTTCCTTGGTTTACCCTTTGTGGGCACAAGTAATCCATTCTGTCTCCTGAGTCCACTGTGGCACTGCCTAAGAGGAACCTGACTAGGAAAATAATGTGAACAGAGCCACCCCACCCTTGTAAGCCTGCGGTAGAGTCAGCTGACCCTGCAGAGCCGGCCTGGAGGGATTTCCCATCATTTCCAGAACTCTTTCCCCAGCATATCTATGGTTCTCTAGGCTGTCCTCTCTGGCCCTGGGATGTGGTTCTGTGGCCGCCTGGCTCCTGTGGCTGCCTCTGTCATCTCTGGCTTCTCCCATGACGGACAGCCTCACTCCTGTCCCTATGAGAAGTCTCTATTGCTCTGGCTCTTGGCTCCCTTACCCCCCGCCTTGATGTGTTCCTCTTTGTCTTGTTAGGTTTGCCCATTCATGGGTCAGTTAAGGGGTGTCCAGCCCCATCCTCTTCTGTTTCAGCTCTTCTTCTTGGGCTGGAACAGCCCCTGTCTTTTCCTGCTTTCCTCCTTCCAGGAGGCTCCCTCCAAGCGCCTATGTTCTGTCTGAGAGGCAGCATTTTGTCTTACTGTGGAGCAAAGGCACCCATTGATCCCAGATGCAGACTGCTCCTCTTCTGGCTACACCCTTCTACGTGTCCTAAGCTGAAGGGACCCATTGTAGGGATCTTGGTAGATGCGTTCACAGGTGTAGCCCAAGATCCCAGAGCAGTGCCTGACCCATAGTAGGCTCTCAACAATTGCTGAATGAACAAATAAATTAGGTTTTACTTGGATGCCCCATCTGCAACACACTTCTAGAATCTTTTGACTGCTGTCACATACAAGACAGGAGAAACCCCTTAATAAATGCAGTAACAACACCTCACTTGTCTATCAGCAAGAGAAGAGTTGCTCTGTTAGAGTTGTCAGTACATTCTCAATTCATCTGAAGAAGAAAAGGAATCATCTGTGTACTAAATAGTATTTTATATAGTTGGGCTAAAAGATCACAGCAGATATATATAGCCATACGTGAACATAGGCATTCGTAAAAGTGGACTGACAGTTACTTGGCGGGGGGGGGGGGGGGGGGGGGGGGGGGGGGGGGGGGTTTGAGGGACAGATCAGTTTCCGGGTGATGAAAATGTTCTAGAATCGATCATGGTGACGGTTGCCCAACTCTGCAAATATACTAAGAACAACTGAATTGTACACTTTCAATGGGTGACTTGTTTGATAGGTGGAAAGTAGTTCAATAAACTGTTCTTAAAAAAAAAAAAAAAGACCTAGGCATTCAAACATCTATTTTCACTTCTCTTCATTCCTACAGCAAGTCCTTTGAGTAGGCAACAGAGTTTTTTCATGCCCTCTCTCCCTTTCTCCCTTTCCAGTTTGGCCCCTTTCTTGGCGGTTACCGTGGAGGCGGCATGGGGCGTTTGTTCTGATTGTTTGCCCCGCAGACCACGGGCGGCATGGGCGCGGGTGCTGGCCGAGCTTGAAGAGGGAGGCTGCCGGGGCTGGGAGGCGGCCGTCCAACGGCCCCTGTCCCCCAGCCAGGAATAATGAGGCTTTGCCAGGTCGGGAGCCACTACTTCAAGTTCCTTGAGGTTTCGACAAGCACAGGCCCAGCCTGTCACAGGATTTCCAAGCTCCTGGGGTAGCCAAATAAATATGCCACATGTTTAATTATACGTGTTATGTAAGAACTGGCCTCCTCTAAGGAGACACCAGGAGCAAACAACTTACTCAACTACTCGAAAGCCTCTAAAAGAATCAAGGGCTCTAAAAACTCAAGAGGCTGAAGTTAAGCAGAAGGAAAGCTTATGGCTTGAGGGACTCGCCCACCCAGCGTCCTTGCTTCTGGACTATTTCTCTGGCTGCCGGTGCCCATGTGAGCCGGGGTTCCACAGGAACAGGATGGGGTGGGGTGGGGAGGCGGGGTCATGTCCTATGCATCCGTAAATTATTTTTATGGTATTTTTATTTGGGTATTTTATATCATAGATTCTTCCATGGGTCGTTCATCACATGAAATGATAATACTCCTGGTTTCATAATTAGGAAAGCTGAATAAAATAGGGCACGCAGGGTGCCCAGCGCAGGGAAACACGACTATGCGCTCCATTGTTGTTATTCTTAATCACGGTGGCAGTCGGTGATGCCCAGCATCCTTTGGTCTCACCGCCCCATCTGTGGCAAGGGCAGGGCAGGCCCCTGCTTCTCGGGTGGCTTCATTCGTGCCTGGGGTGTTCATTTATGGCAGGGAAGCCTCCCACAGGACAGTCGGGGGAGCCCGGCTACTGGGGTGCCATCGCGGCTCTGCTGCTCCCCAACTGTGTGACCTGGGCCAGTTTCCTCACTGCCTTTCTCTCTGGTTTCCTCATCAATACAAGGAATTAGTCAAATTGGAAGTCGTAGATCTAATTATGTAGATCTGTTAATAAGTATCTCATAAGCTAATTGTAAGGTGCTTCAAAGTGTGTCTAGCAGGTTGCAGGTGTTGATATTATTTGTTAGATAAAAAGATAAATGGACGGCTGGACTCTGAGATAGAAGAGGCAAGGGCCATGCTGTGTGGCGGGAATGTCTGCAGGCGGGAGGTGAAGCTGAAGGGAACAAGTGCTGGGCATGTCCTCCTAGAAGGGAAAAATGGCGCCAGGGCTGGGGGGTGGAATATTTAGAAAAACTTGCTGTCACTCCTGCTGTGGAATTTTCCAGACTCTGTCCAGAAGACCTTTAGAAATGAGATGGTCTTATCAGCCTAGGGCGGCTTGCATAAAACCTGCATTAGAAACTAGAGATTGGGTTATCAGATGAGCTCTTCAGGTCATGTCTGATGTATTACCAAGATTGTAAAACCTAAAACACTATTTAAGAAACGGATACATGAAAAGCAATCAGGGAATAAAAATTTAGCTGTCTGGCTTTTCCTATAGTTTTGTTTTGCTTTGTTTTTTGCTTTTGTTTGCTTCTAATATTTGTAGACTTCCAGGAGTCTATAGTTTGTCCCTTAAAACCCAACAGTATTTACATTGAAACCTACTATCCCTTCAACTTGGCTTTTGGAGAAATGAAGATTTTGCAGTGAGAAAGTTTCACATAACATCCTACCTTCCAAAGTATGATAACAGCAGTCCCATTTTTGAATCTGCGTTAAGCCCCTTCTCCATGGTTGGCTTAGCTCTCAGCTTGGTCCTTACTTAGTATTAGGCTCAGATTTACCCCTTGCGTCTGGAAGGACACAACCACATACTTCTGGCCCAGATCTTGGCTCTACCCCTCAGCCAGCTCAAAAGGCAGGAGCTGGGCGCCCCACACAAACATTCTTACAGAGTATTACTCCGGAAGCCCCGTCTCCTACTTTTCTAGTGCACAACAGTCTACCTACTGACCCAGCTCCCAGCTCCTGTGGCCCGCGGGCTGGGGTCTGAGGCTGCTGGTGGTGGAGCCTGTGGACAGGGATGGCTTTGGGAGGCTGGTGTGGGCTCCTAAGGCAGTGGCTCCCGTGACCTGCGTCAGGGTGACTGGCTGTGCGGTTGCTCCTGGAACTGGTGGCTTCTGATAGGCTTGTGTGGCCTCACCTGTAAAAAAGACGAAATTATACTGGGGCCTACAGAATAGCTGGTGGGCTCTTCGGGACAGAAATATAACAAATGCTCATTGAACACTAGCTGTGGGCAAATATCTCTGCTAGCTGCTGTAGAGGATAAAATCTACCTGCCCGAAGGGAATGTACAATCTGGATGGAGCCATGATCCAAAAAACAAACCAAAGACTATAAACAATAAAATATTTAACCAGTCAAATCCTACGGCAACATAGAGAAGGCAGAACACGATTTACCACCAAATTAATTTGCCAGACACCAGAAACAATGGTTTATGAACCTTTTTTTGTTGTGTAAGTTAGCATTGACCTAGGGATATGAGGAACTTTGGGCTTTCACTGTGACTTACTCTTAGAGGATGCATTCTAGATGTTCTAGCTTAGACTGGCTCATGACTAGTCAACTCACTCCTCTGGGCCCCAGTTTTCTCATCTGTAAAATGGGGTAATGGAAATAATTTAAGGACCACCATTCTACTTCTAAATAGCACTCTCCATTCGTGTATAATTATTTAAATTGTTTCCACGACTAAAAAAAAATTTTTTTTAGTTGTATTTATTTGGTTTGAGGGAGACAGAGACAGCATGAGAGGGGAAGGGGCAGAGAGGGAGGGAGAGAGAGAACCCCAGGCAGGCTCTGCCTGATGTGGGGCTTGAACTCAACAAACCACAGGATCCTGACCTGAGCCGAAATCAAGAGTCGGACTCTTAACTGACTGAACCACCCAGGCGCCCCTCCACAAGTTTAAACAAGTCCCAATTCATTAGGTCTCTGGGGTCCCTGACAGTTTCTCTGAAGGTTTAAGACAAGGGGACCAGTGGCTATCCTCTGGGCATTGGATATTGTATTGACAGCCATGGGCTGTGTCAGAATGGGACACAAAATGGCCCCCAAACTGAAAGGCACCCCAGTACTGGGAGGGGACAATAGCCACCAGTTACAGCTATGTAGTCTCTTGAGCCCCACAGCAGGGACATTACCTCCTTTGCCTGTACCTCTGTGTTAGTGTCCTGGTGCTGCTAATAAATTGTCCTAATGCTGCTGTAATAAATTGTCACACACTGAGTAGCGGCTTCAAACAACAAAAATCGAATCTGTCACAGTTTTGAAGGCCAAAAGCTGGAACTCAGTGTCACTGGGCTAAACTCCAGGTGTGAGCAGGGCTGAGCAGAATCTGCTTTCTGCCTCTTCCATTGTCTGGTGGCTGCTGGCATAGCTTGGCTTGTGGCCACACCCCCAATCCTCAAGGCCAGCATCCTCAGTTTCTCTCTGCTCTGTCTTCACATGACCTTCTCCTCCATGTGTATCAAATCTCCTTCTGCCTCCCCAACCCCAGATAATTCAGGATAGTCTCCCTATCTAAAGACCCTTAACTCAATCCCATTGGCAAAACCCCCCTCACCCCTCCACTTTTATGTTTTGGCATATATGGAAAAATTCACAGATACCAGGGACTAGGACATGGGTATCTTTGGTGGGGGGGGGGGTGCATATTTCAGCTTACACAGCATCCTAGCTCTAGCTTTTTTTTTTTTTTTTTAAAGTTTATTTATTTATTTTGAGAGAGAAATGAGAGGGAGAGAAAGAATCCCAAGCAGACTCCATGTTCACAGCACGGAGCCCTACATGGGGCTTGATCTTACGAATTGTGAGATCATGACCTGAGCTGAAATTAAGAATTGGATGCTTAACCAACTGAGCCACCCAGGTGTCCCCTTAGCTCTAGCTTTTAACTCTGCTTAGGGATATGCCTCTTTGGTATATAAAACAGTAGGCCAAAGGGACAGCAGCTAAGATTAGGTGCTACACTCTTCCTGTGAACCATCCAACTTCCTCTTTGACATTGTACAGCATTTTGGGAGAACAGTGTCAGCACCATGACCTTGGACCAGCCATGCAGATGCCTGTGTACTGGAGCATTTAGAGCCACTACCCAGCACTGGCATCTGCTCATTTCTCACCCTGCCGCTGTCACCTTCTGTGAGCATTGACTTGGGAGAGCATGTCAGCAAACAGTGCCCCAGACACAGGTTGGAGTTTGGCTGCTCAGTCTGATCTCATAGGCCAACCGGGCAGGAGACCGATCTCTCCTTTGCCGTGTCGTTGCTGAGGGCTGGTCACCTTCAGATCTCCCTTGAGACTGTGCCAGAGAAATGGCTAAAGAGCTGGCAACAGCCTTGGGGGGTCAGTCTTCATCCTTGGGCAAACCAAACCGGCGTGGTTTATGACATTTCCATGACTTTAAAGGAATTGAGCCTTCATAACAAGTCCCAGGGAAGTTTCTAATTTCTCCAAAGTAGCCTTCTGTCTCTCTCTCTGGTAAATGCTCTGAAGCATTAGTATCTTGCTAGGGGATGTGGGCTCAGGTTGGACTCACTTCATATAGGGAAAAATTTGATAGAATAACATATATTTTATGAAATAGGATAAAACTATTAATTTGGAAAGAAATATATAAAACCTATGGTACATTTTACTTGCAAATTGTTAATTAAACTACAATTAAAAATAAAACTTCTAGCAATAATGAACAGTTTTGTTACCTTACGCTTATGAGATATTGAAAATATGAAATATCTTTTTCTCACCCCATTGGCTAATTCTGAGGTTTCTAAATGCCCCAGTCTTCATTTGCTAATATTAGTTGCCAGAGAGTAGATTCAATATCCTGATGACAGCCACTTGTGTTACTTGCTTTGAACACCAATACTTTCAAGCAAGGCATAAATTCAACCAAGAGATCCATCTGTCTGGTTTTCCATGGTCTTCCATGGGCTGTTGTTTCTGCCCAGAACAGCACCGTCTTTAAGATGAAGACAGAGAAAGAACCCTCCTCCAATGGCTCCCAGTTCCTTATGAAACATAATGCCTGATGTGACCCAGAGTGAATTCTTCATTGCACCAGGCTCCTTTTGAACAGTTAGAAATGAAACCAATAAAATAGTTTCTTCATACAATCTCAGATACATAGAAGTTTCACAGAAATCTTTTCAAAGGTTTTCATGGGAAAACATCAAAATTTCCTTTAGGCTCTTAACATATTATTCTATGGACAAGGTCATGTGGTCTTTTTTTAAAAAAAATTTTTTAAAGTTTAATTTATTTTGAGAGCGAGCGAGCACACATGACAAGGGGAATGGCAGGGAGAGAGAGAGAGAGAGAGAGAGAGAGAGAGAGAGATTCCCAAGCTGGCTTCACATCATCAGCACAAAGCCTAATGCGGGGCCCAAACCTATAAACTGTGAGATCATGAGAAGAGCTGAAATCAAGACTTGGATGCTCAACCAACTGAGCCACCCTGTCCCCCAGGTAATGAGCAGTTCTAAACAACCTGCTCAACACCAGTATGAGGCCCTCAAAGCTCCCTACAGCTGAGTCATCATTGAATCAGAGTGACAAGTTAAAATGCAGACTCCTGAGCCCTAATCACATAGATTCTGATTCACTGGGTCTGGGATGGACCTTGAACATCTGATTTGAGAACTGTCAGCCAGCATCAGGCTGGACTCCTCACTTCAGCCCTCACCAGCTTGGCCACTAACGTTCTTTGAGCCTGGTTTCCTTTGCTGTGATTTGGGGATGGTCAGACCTACCTGATGAGGCTGTTGTCATAACTAGAGATTGTGTCTGTGAGGGGCCTGCACAGTACTTGGCACATGGCAGCATTCGGTAAATGGCAGTAGCTGACACTTATCACCGTGTTGTGTCATCCCTCCCCTTTCCCCAGTGGAAAAACAGTGCTTTCAGTAGATGTCAAATGTGAGGTGCATGAAAAGAACATTGAAGTCCACTTAACAGCAATGCCTGCAGGTCAGAGCTATGAGGGAGGATTTGCTCTTCCCCCCATTGACTCACTATGGGCCTCAGAATTATACACAAGGGCAGGAAATCTATTCATTAAGCATGTACTATGTGCCAGACACTGTGAAGGGACATTAGCATTCATATTTGATATCAATCACAGTGCTGGAAGCCAAGCCAAGTAAAGGTCTCACAGACAATAGGTAGCAGAGCCAGGATTTGGACCCATATTTGTTTGATTCCAAATCCCATATGTTTCCCCTCAAAAGGGGAACACAGTGGAAGGCAAGTCATGAATAGCCGCAAGATTCCTGAATGTGGTTCCCATCAGAGGGTGGCCCAAGGTCTCTTTAGAGTTGTGGTGGAACCTGTCTTATCCAGGGGCAGGGGTGGCCTTGGTGAGTACAGTGAGGGGAGTAAGGGCAGAAGGTTCTTAGGAAGTCAGCTGTACTACCATAAACTTCAGCTTGAGTCTCCTCTAGGGGGAGGGACTGGGCACATGGCCAAGGGGACGCAGCAGGGTATTCGCCTGCTGCTCTTGCTCAGCAGTCTCCAAGAAAGATTTCCTTTCTTTTCTCTCACTGTAGTGCCAGCGATGCGCCTTCTTGGGTTTGGTGAGCTTCTCCAAACCAACACTTCCCTGTTTGTACTCAGAGTAGCTTGAGACTCAAGCCAAATACCAGCTGCCTGCCTGATGGTTGCTCCCTGCCTGGGGAGACAGCATTTAAATCAGGAATGTCCACCCCCAGCAGGGGCTGCCCCAGGCAAATCTCGATGCTTTTTATTTTTTTATTTAAAGATGATTTCTAATTGTTGAGTGAGCTGCTTTGTTTTGAGGGGGGTCATCCTAACCTGATTCACCTGTTAACCCACCGTCTTGGAGGGATTAGGAAGCATGTTATTGGGACATGCCAAGACCAGGGCAAGTAACTGCTGGCCCTCACATCTTCATCTTACCTGCTTCCCTCAATTTCGATAGGAATTTTGTCATCAGGAGAGGAAAAAAGGGGACCACCCTTTTATAGTTCTCACTGGATTAAAAAAAAACTTTTTAAATATTTGTTTTTGAGAGAAAGTATGAATGCTCCTGTGAGCAGGGGAGGAGAAGAGAGAGAAAGAGAGTGGGGAACAGAGGATCCAAAGCAGGCTCTGCACTGTTAGCACAGAGCCCAACATGGGGCCCAAACTCACAAACCATGAGATCATGACCTGACCCGAAATCAGATGCTTACTGACTGAGCCACCCAGGTGCCCCTCACTGGAACTTTTTATTTGAATTGGCAAAAACTTACTCTTTAATGAGACTATACCTTTATTTTTTAATGATTTTTATTATTTTTAAAATTTATTTTGAGAGAGAAAAAAGAGAGATCCAGTGGAGGAGGGGCACAGAGAGGGAGACAAAGAATCCCAAGAAGCTCTATGCCATCAGTGCAAAGCCTGATGTGGGGCTCAAATCAACGAACCGGGAGATCATGACCTGAGCTGAATCCAAGAGTCAGACACTCAACCGACTGAGCCACCCAGGCACCCAGAGACTATACATTTAAAGAAAGACTCCTCTAGAAGCTGGGCGAGACCCCAAGTGTCCCTTTAGTGTTTATGCTGGAAAGGGATGTTTGTCCCTTATCTTTGTACGGGAAATCAAAGAATCCCCAAAGACACAATAACACATAGCATAGTTCTCCCTTGACACAGAAACCTAGAAAAAGGCACTTTCCTGGCCTGAACCCTCTGTGGTTCTCATGAAGCTGGGTCCACACAACCTCATAAACACTATATCTTTGGCTTGGGTTATTTCTATTGTTTAGAAATTGTTATTTCTATTGTTCTATGTTAACACATACCTCACACCACCCATTTCGCTTCCCTTCATTTCATATGTAGGCAGAGAGAGCTTTTCCCCTTTCAGTGCCAGGGAACATTTCTAGACAGAATATCCTGTCATCTTCTAAAGTAACAACACAATTCAAGGCAACAACCATTGTGAATGAAAATGACAAAACACAGAGATAATCTTGGAACTGCAAATCCAAAACCTAAAGCCTTATCTTTCAGCCCTAGACATCTGATCCCCTTGATTTCTGTTGCTGGCATCAGTGGAGCATGACCAGATGTTAATTTCTACGCTACCTCCTGAAACATGTGTTTACAAACTCAGAATCTTTAGATGAAATCACATATGAACACTTGCCTGTTTTGGCAGCAGGGCTTTTAGATGATGAATATGTAAGAGCTGATGGGTAGGTTACACCCTTTTGGGGTTTACCTTCTGCAAAAAAGAAAAAAAAATTATTTGTAGAGCTAGACGTTTGAGATGGTTCTGGTAAGCTGATTCCCTCCTTCCTATTTATCTGTCTTGAGTTCAATAAATCCACAGTCTTCCTGCCCCCTAAGCTGGAGTGTTGATTACAAGAAGAAAGTCAAGTGAGATTTTGTTTTTCTGTATAGCCTGTGTCTTATTAATATTAGAAAGGAAGCAATACCATCTGTGTGGTTCAGACTTAACATTAGCAACCCTCACTCTGCCCATGAAGATGTGACATGTAAGCTTAAGGTTTTTGTGTACGTGGTGTTGAATGTTTAATTAGGTCAGTAGATGAATGTAAAGGACTCCCCGTGCTCTCCTTCCGGATGCTCCAGAGCTCTGGTCACAGGCTGGCTAGCCGTGCATGAACCGCTCTCTCTCCCCTTCACGGACCCTGTGGGATCCATTTGAATTCCATGGCACTAAAGAAACCTAGAAAGTACTTTTCAAAAGAAGCATTTGTTGCCCACCTAGGGAAAGAAAGTTTAGAGGCCAGGTGAGGAGAAGGAATGTTAATATGTATCAGGGACAACAAAGGAGGCATAAAAAAGAAAAACTATCAGGTGATCGGGGCTGGGGAAGCAAGTACCAAGCCTGATCGGACTGAAAACGTCCCGGGGAAGCCTGTTGCCTCTAAAGACGTCTTCCGCCAGGAAATGATGCCTGGAATTCCGCCACAGTTTTGCTCCACAATGAGATGGACAGTGTCACTTGGAATGTAGCAGCTACCTGGAGATTGGGGATTTGTCTCTCTTGGGAACCGGCGAATCCGTGCCTCTGGCATGTAGGAGATGATCAGTTAGTATTGATTCGGAGAAGGAATGTCTTCATGCTTAGATCTCTGTTACAATTTCAAATACCCATGAGAGGAGTCCCACCTGGTATCTGATATTTGCATCTGATAGGGAAAGAACTTTAATTCTCAACCTAAGGAAATAGTTTTATAGGATGGGCTTGGGGACGAGATGGCGAGGAGTGTCGAATGGAGAGTCCAAGTGGTGGGACAGAATCTAGTGCACAATTTTTGCCAAAAACCCTACTACACAAAAGGCTGTAGAGCCACAAAGCAGACAGAATAATGGAGTCTCAGAAAGAGCCTGGAATTGGGAATGAGAACATCTAGGTTTCTGTGTCTATTTGCCATGAATTCTCTGCCTCAATCTCTGAGACTCTCATTTCTCTCATTCAGAAAATATGGACAGTGATATGGAACAACTTACTGTTTTAAGTTGTAGGGATCTAATGGAAAAAGAGTTAAAATGTTTTGGAACTATGTATTACCAGAGAGCTGTAAAGATTCTCTTCTGGTATTGTCTATAAATATCACTCAAAGTGGAGATGAGGCAAAATGTTTGGGCTTACTGAGTTATTTCACCTCATTAAAGTCACCTGGGAGCAGAGCTTGGCATTTCCAGGTCCCCCGCCCTTGTCTGGGCCTCTTCCAAATCGTGATTGAGGTCATTTTGGACCCAAGGAGGGCCTCACTTGATCAACTGAGGGGACTGTGGGGAGATGGTCTCCCTCTGTTCACTATTCTTCTCATATCTAAAATCCTATGTTTATTTCTGCTTCTATTCAGAAGGAAAAAGAACATGAGCTCAGTTTTCTGAAATGTGGATCAAAGAACAAATAGGCAGTATTAGGAAGTTCCTCTCTGACCATTCCTATCCCTGGACTGTCAAAAGATTGTGCTGACCAAAAAGGCACATCCCATCTTCTGCTCCCATCCCAGCCCGCCAAAGTGAATTAACTAAAGGAGCACAGTGATGTGTAAAAATTAAAAATAAAAAGGTCATGAAGGCACCGGAGCCTTCAGAGGAGGATTCTGACACCATCCAGCTGTGGCCTTTAGCTTCTGGATACTGGGGAGCATGCCTTGGCTGCTGGCCAGCATCGCTCCCCCAAGTCACCCATTCAAAAGAGATTCCTACCCATTGCAGAAGCACCAATGTTTATTATAATTGGCAAAAAGTTAAATGTCACTAGGTGAAATGAGGGGACATGGAAGTTGAGTTTATAGGGAATAATCTCAGCAGACTGATTTTCATTTAAAAAACCCAAAACATCTCTACTCTCTTGGAGTTAATTTCTCCTTTAAACCTCTGTTGGGGATTCTTGAATTGCAGGATATGCATTTAAGGTGGGAACACTCTTATTTAGCCAGGAACTACTTGGTAAACACCTATGTGGGGATTACATTTCTCTATATACTTGACAAATTTGTAGTCTAGATATTAGCATTGTCATATGGCCACTATTCTGAATTCTCATGACAACTGTGGTTGATGACTTTCCACTCTCTGACATAGAAACCAGTTTAATTTGAACCCTAGGTTGCAGAATTCTGCAGGCAAGAGGAAACAGAGATTGCTCAATTTGTGAAGAATCCTGAAAGGTCTGTTTGTAGTTCTATTAAAACTCTGAAAAAACCCAACAACTCTGATCAATGGAGGATAGTAGGAGTTGGGGCATGGGATGCATAAAGGTACCAGAAAGCCATCCAGACGGGAAGACCTACTATATTATGAAACATTTCTCTTTTCCTTGCTTCGGTTGATCTTCCGCAGGTGGCTCCTCAGGAGAGTTGCATGGCTCCTAATCTTGTTGGGATGCCAGAAGCTTTGCTAGAATATAGTTTAAAATCATGTGAAGCCTCTTTGAAGAAAACTGGGAGATGCAAGGCCCAGTGTAAGGCAAGTGTAGCACAAGGATAGAACACTGTGTTGTGTTCAGACACCAATAAGGACATGCCAAAAAATCCCAAAGGGCACCCACTGGCCAAATTTGGAAAATTTGAGCGCCAAAAAGAATAATGATAGCCAAATTATGGAAAGAGCCCAAATGTCCATTGACTGATGAATGGATAAAGATGTGGTGTGTGTATACACACACACACACACACACACACACACACACACACACACACGGAATACTACTCGGCAATGAAAAAGGATGAAATTTTGCCATTTGCAACAATGTGGATGGAACTAGAGGGTATTATGCTAAGCAAATTAAGCCAGAGAAAGACAGATATCAGACAATTTCACTCACATGTGGAATCGGAGAAACGCAACAGGTGAAGGAAGGAACAGATGAAGGAAGGAAAAATAAGATAAAAACTCAGAGGGAGGCAAAGCATAAGAGACTCTTAAATACAGAGAACAAACTAAGGGTTGGGTGGGAGAATGGATTAAATGGGTGACAGGCATTAGGGAGGGCACTTTTGTGATGAGTCCTGGGTGTCATACATAAGAGCTTAAACACTGGGTTTTACTCCTGAAGCCATGACAACACTGTATGTTAACTAACTTGAATTTATATATACAAAAAAAAAGAATAATGGTGATAATGGATTATAACATATTTTCAAAAACAATCCATGACTCCCTAGTGATACTTGAAAAGATAGGTGTGGAGAGAGGGAGAAAAATCCTCTTCTTTATGTAAGAAAACTTGCTAATAAATGTGGAAGGAATGACAGAATTAGAACAATATAATTTTGCAAATTCTAATGTAATTCTTGCTAGTGCAAGGACCATCAGTGGATGTTAAACCACTGGATGATTTTGTTGGGGAATGAGCCATTCATGCTGATTTGAAGTATAACCCTACAGATTGCTTATTAATTATAAAGTATTTTTACCATGGAGAGATACTGTAAAGTATCTGACCAGTCAAGTTTAGCATTACCAACAGCTGGATAAACTGACATTATTGTGCCTTCTGATATGGCCACTGTGATACAGCACAATGGATATGCTATGATACTACCTATGTAGTAACCCTGGGAAAATATTTAACCTGGATCCAATCATGAGGAAATGGTTGGACATATTTGTGGTCCAGACTGTGAGACACAGTCCTAGACAACTGGCTGGGACTTCAAAAATGTCACTGTCATCCATGACAAAAAACGTAGTGTGGGGCTAGACAGTTTTAGATTAAAGGAGAGTTAATAGACATGACAACTGGAGGCAACAGGTGATTTTTATTATTTATTAGATTGTGGATCAGAAAGGAAGGAAAGAAGGAAGAGAGAGAGAAGGGAAGGAGAGAGAAGTAGGAGGAGAAGAAATTACTATGAAGACTGAGATAACTGGGTATTATTGAGGAGGAACTATTTGTTAGATAGTATAATTGTAACAATGTTAATGTTTTATTTATTTATTTTTTTTAATGTTTTATTTATTTATTTCTAGGAGAGAGAGAGAGACAGCATGAACAGGGGAGGGTCAGAGAGAGAGGGAGTGACAGACTCTGAAACAGGCTCCAGGCTCTGAGCTGGCAGTCAGCACAGAGCCCGACGCGGGGCTCGAACCCACGAACCGCGAGATCGTGACCTGAGCGAAAGTCGGACGCTTAACCGACTAAGCCACCCGGGCGCCCCGTATGTTAATGTTTTAGGTGTGATATTGGTATTGTGGTTATTTAGGAAAATCTTATTTTTGCTAGATGTGTGTGGCACTATTGAGGAATAAAGTGTCATGATGCCTGCAGCTTATTTTCACAGGGTTTAGAGCAAAATATAGGTAATGATAGGTAGATTAAAAAAGCAATTGTTGCTAGGTGAAGGGAATGTGGAGATTCATTGTACTATTCTTTCAATTAAAAATGTTTCAAAATAAAAGTTTGGGGAATTCACAAAAGTAGGAAAGGACGGGTCGTGATAATACAGAGATACTAGGTCATTTTTAATGTGGAATCACAATCGTCAGTAGCTCACTGACATTACCCCATTGGAAGAGGGAGAAAAAGAGTGAAAAAGATTATCTACAAAATTCCTAAGGAGCTAGACTGCTAGGACTGACTAGTGAAACAATCAGTTAAATAAAAAGAAATCTCAAAATTGCAGCTCAGTTCTCTAAGAGCCTATATCCCTTTTCATTTACCAGAAATATCAAGGAATGAGGTTCTAGATAACAAGACATATTTGGCCTAACTAAAGGAGTAGTTCAAAAACCCAAGTTATTAAATGCAATCCACTTCATTAAAAGTTTGATTGGATTTATGGATAGCTGCAGTGTGTTTAAAATGAGCAATTGGAGCCTTTTAATGTTTCCAGACTTTGTAGTGATTTATCACTGTAATTATAATTTATTGTTTCATGATCCTAATTATCAGAAGAGCTAATGCTTCAGATTTTTATGAAGTGAGTTGGGCCATAAACTAAAACCAATAGAACATTGAAAAGAGCACATTTCCTCCCATGAGGTCACTTAAGCCAAGCGCCCAGGTAGGGCTGTGTTTCTCCAGTGTGTGGGCGTACCTGAGACGATGAAGGACTCTCTCCAACGTGGCAGGGACAGTGACTGAATGCCATTGGAGTAACTCCCCTTATAGCCAGATTGCCCAGCAACTTTCCGAACAAGTATTTTCCCTCCTGAATTATCCAGCACGCCACTACGAAGAGAAAAAAAAAAAAACAAAAACCAAAAAACGAAGAGCAGAAAAGTATTGTTTGACACAATCAACAGACTGATATCACACTAGCCTCCATCTTTATTTGAAGATATGAAAGGGCGAGATTAAGAAAAGGTTTATCCTGACCTGCACCCCATGCCCCAAGAATGGTGCCTTCATCCATGGCCCAGCATCTGACCTCCCAGGCCAGATAGCCTTCTCTTTCTTATTACAGAAGAATAAGAAAGATGGTTGTTTGTTCCATTGGGCAGCAATTTCTGTTTGCTACCATGCCTCAAATTTCTCTTCCTTGGTTTGCTCGTTCTCACTAGGTCTTTTGAGTAAAACTTCTGACAATTTCCAGTTTGGTTTTGTGACATCACAGGATGGTTCCACTTATTTCGAAGGGTGGCCATGACCTTTTACCAAGCAAATTATTCCTTTTATTTTGGGCAAGGGAAGGAAGGTGCGTGGCTCAACTGAACTCATTAATAAGAGTCCTGAAGGACTGGAAATTGTTTCTTTAATTTCTAGGATTTTGAGGGTTTTGGATCCTGATGTAACAGTGACTGACATATATACCTCTTTGCTTGTATGTGAAACAGGGGCCTTTTTCAGCTTCTTCAGAGTCACTTCACATTGTCATTCCCTTGCCCCAGAGCCAAAAATGGCTCCTGTGGGTATCAGTGATTTATGGCACAGACGGAGCTAAAAATCCACTTAGATTTGTTCTCATCAACACCCTCCCTTCCCTCCAGGAACGAGAGTTGCCATTTCCTGCCCTCCCACCTTCATGAGTCAACAAGTTTCAACACTCAACTGCTCAATGACCCAGAAGGAAAGATAGTGATAATCGTACTTGACATGTGGAGCACTTAATTGATTTAAAATCATTCCCATGTATGGTATCTCACGGGGCCCTCCCAGCGAACCTGTGACTTGTGGAGCAGAGGCAATGCTGTTGTTCCCATTTCATGGAATTGGGCTTAGACCAGTGGAGTGACTCAGGCCAGACTTTGTGACTAGTAAATTGGCAAGGCAGGGATTTGAACCCAGGTCTAGCTGACCTGGAATCCCGGGTTTGTCCCATGTGGTCACAGTTGCCTCTCAGGGTTCAAAGGCAAAGATGCCAACTCCTCATCTTTCCAAATCATTGCGACCCTGCCCTTCCTTCTGCTGGGAGCTCGGAATCTGTTACCTCACAAGTCCCAGCTGCGGCTAGGCTCTCGGCTCCCTTGACAGAGCACATGGTTCCCACTCAGTACGCATCTGCTCCTGCTGCTCTTTTGCCCCAGAAAACCAGCTCCCACTTCTGCCTGACAAGACCTGTGCCGCACAGGGCCCCATCCTTCCTTCTCTAGAGAGATTCTGGAAAGATTTCACGGCATCCCTTCCTAACGATGCCTTACAGTCTTGTCTCACAACCAAGACTCTGATTTTATCTGGTCTTGTCTTATCTCCTAGAAAATGTCTTGAGTCGCTTTTGTCTCTCAACCAGATTAGAAATGTTCTTAGGGAAAAGGCAGTGTTTTATGCTTCTACCTTGGAAGGCCTGTCAGTGGTGTGTGGGTGCTGCCCACGCTGGCTTAGGAAAGCCAATTGTTATCTTTTCAGGATTGTGAGAGTTGGTTCCCCTCACATTGTAGCTTGAATCAGCCATGGTGGGAGTATTTATGCCACAGAAATTGGTAAAATCAGAATTACCTGTGCGTTTGAGGAGCTGGTTGTTAAACATTGACAAGCACAGGTCCGGTGGAGGATGAAAATTCTAGTTATTAAAAAATTATCCCATGCTCCCTTCACTTACAATTAATGGGGGAATTAGAAATCACAATAACACTTACCTTTTTATTTCCTTCCCAAGAGATTATTCTGCCCTTGGTTTTTTACTCCAGTGTATTGAGGAAATGTGTGTGTGTGGGTTCGCTCCTGTTTAAGAGTCAGAATAACAGTAGCTGCCCTTCCCAGAGAGGGAAGGGGGAGAGGCTGTGTTGAGCTTCCCTCAGGCTGTTCAAGGAAGTGGGAGGGTGGGGGTGGGGTCTCAAGCTGCTCAGGTCTGATGATATCCCTTGTAAGGGTGGGATAAGATGAACACCAAGAGGGGCGCCTGGGTGGCTTAGTCGGTTAAGCGTCCGACTTTTGCTTAGGTCATGATCTCGCGGTTTGTGGGTTAGGGCCCCGCGTCGGGCTCTGTGCTGACTGCCAGCTCAGAGCCTGGAGCCTGTTTCAGTCTGTGACTCCCTCTCTCTCTGACCCTCCCCTGCTCACGCTGTCTCTCGCTCTCTCCTAGAAAAAAATAAAACATTAAAAAAAAAAAAAAAAAAAGATGAACACCCAGACTGTGGGGAAGATGCGACACTGAACTATGGTGATATCCTGAGATATCCCTGTTGCAGACCAGACTTAATGCCTGATCTTGCAGGTGGACTTAACTGGAGGATGTGGATCTTCTCAGATATTCTGGAGAAGAGTGGATGCTAGGTGGTCTTAAATCCTGCCTTCTGAAGACCGACTTGTTCTGTTGTGAAAAACAAAACTCAGAGTATCAAGGAATTCCTATCTGTTCTCCCTTAAGGTCTCTATTCATCCACCCCATGGACAGGGACACTTCCTTCTGAACAGTTTCCCACTAAATCAGACACTGGTCCAGAAAACTACAATGGCACTCAGTTGCTCAAGTAGCAGATCTTGTGTTCTGAAGCATTCAAGCTCTTCTCCTTTGCCCCTCTACCCTCTTCTCTATTCTCTCCCCAAGTTCTTACTCTCCAACCCCCAGCACTGAAATTGCTAAGTCCTGGTTCTTGTCAAAGCCCTTCTTATTTTCTCCCCAGTGATGTCTCCATCCATCATAAAGCCATTCCCAACTCTTACTGGTCCAAAGTCTACATCTACCTCACATCCTCACTTTGTATATTAAACAGTGCTGGGACCCTCGCGCCTGTTCTTAGGTAAATATGTCACCTGGGCTCTGGGTCGGAGGTCAGGGGACAAGAGGTCTATTTTGAATTTGCAACTAACTAGCAATTTAATTAGCTTCGCTAGTTCTCAGCTCCTCTTCTAACAAATGGGGATGTTAACCGCAGCCTGATAGGGTCGAGATGATGCTAGAAGGAGAGAATCACAGTGCAAGGGATTACTGTATGATGACGTGTTCGTGGGGTTGAATGAACCCATGGGACTCTGTCCTGCACTGGAAGCATGGAAAGGCAAGAGAGAGCCAGCAAATGTCAGAGGGAGCAAATGCCAACCATTTGGATCACAGCTGGAAAAATACAGGCAACCTGAAGACAGGCTCAGCCTCTGCAGCAGACACAGTGTCTACGCAGACACAGACTGGAGGGGGCCGATGGCGCTGAGCTAATTGGGCACACACATGTGTGTAAGGATGTAGGCGAGCACGCACATATGTGCAAGCACACATGTGGGAGCATGCACATGTGCATTCACGCATACGTACGTGTGTGCATGAGATTTATTTCAGAGTGAAAGCAAAATATTTTTTTTCATCGTCTGGGGTTAAGAAACAGCGTTTGGTGTAGTTTCTCTCCTTTTTTTTTTCTTAAGTTTACCCATTTTGAGAGACAGAGAGAGCAGCATGAGCTGGGGAGGGACAGAAAGAGAGGGGGAGATAGAATCCCAAGCAGGCTCCGAGGGGGAGATAGAATCCCAAGCAGGCTCCATGCTGTCAGCAGAAGGAGCCCCACATGGGGCTTGATCTCACGAACTGCTCAACCGACTGAGCCCCCCTAGCACCCCTGGTGCTGTTTCTCTTGAATGTTTCACTAGTTCTCCATAATAGAGCATTTGTAGTCCTTCCCCACTGGAAACTCAGTGAGCTCGGCATCCCTCCTCAGTGGTGGGGGAAAGTGGGCAGCCAACAGACTGCCAGTAATTCTTAAATCTGATTTTATGCATAGACTTTGCTTTTGTTGTTTCCCCAAATTTCTGAAAAGCTGCTGACGGCACACCGTGAAAGGGAGGGAAATGTACATCTTTGCTCCTCTGTCTGGCAGAGTTCCACAGCAACCATCAGCTGACCGGTGTGCAAGAAGGAAACAGATACAGTAGCTGACTAATTCAGAAACTTCATCCAGTATCCAGTGGCCGAGGACTGACTCAGGGGCCACATCTCAAAGCAGTCTCAGAGTGGTGGATCAGGGCTGGACTTAGATTCCAGTCCCCACTCGGATACTTTGCAATAGTGCGGCTTTAGAAAAGCTATTCTGCCTCTCGACTCTCAAGATGTGGATAACAGTAGTAGCCACCACATTGGGAGCCGTGAGGATTAAATAAGGTGACACAGGTGAGGCACTTGACTCAGACACAGTGGCCTTATTATCAAAGGTACTATGTAAATATGCATTCCCCTGGGTTTGGTCTCCCAGACTAAGCAGAAGAGGTATGAGCATTTGGGGGCACCTGGGTGGCTCAGTCAGTTAGTGGCTGACTCTCCATTTCAGCTCAGGTCATGATCTCCCAGCTTGTGAGTTCGAGCCCCCCATGGGGCTCTGGGCTGACAGTGTGGAGTCTGCTTGGGAGTCTCTCCCTCCCCGCCCCCCCCACCAGCACTCTCTCTGCTCTTCCCCTGCTTGTGCGCACTCTCTCTCACTCAAAATAAATAAACTTAAAAAAAGAAAGAAGTATGAGGATTCTGTGAAGGTCACTTTTGCCTCTCCTCATTTAGGCAGTGACTTAGTTCAAAACATGTCATACTTCCCGTCCTTCTTCTGGATCCCAGACCAACAGGTGACAGAGCAGTACCGCCTGCCACCCTCCTTCTACTTGTCTCCAGGCCATCATCACGGCTGTGACACATTTCTTCTCCAAACGTCTGTGCGTTGCTTAGTCACATCCCTATTATTGCCTTGCTCGGCACATACAGGTAGAAAAACACATGCTTCACGTCACCGAGAACCGTGGCTCCCTTGTCATGAACGTGAGAGCGTAGAATTCTCCTCCCCATCCCATGAAGTCGGTCCTTTCCCCGGAGAGCTGTGAAAGGAGACCTGGGGCCACACTCAGCTCCTGCCTGGCCCCATGGGGTAGGGCTGCCACACGAACTGCAGGCTGCACAGTTACGGGGGCCCCCCTGCCCGCAGCCTGGTTGCTGGTTGTTATGTAGCGCGGAGCTACCCACCTGTGAATCGCAGCACCGCACACGCTGGAGTAAGACGCGTAGATATCCGTGCCGTAAACGTGGTATTTGGGGTCTTGGCATCCTGCTGGACATTTCACAACGAACTCAGGATTGATGATCTTTCCGGCTTTGACATCACAGTTGATCTGAGGCACAGCTGGGAAAGCAAAGTGAGGCCAAAATTACACCTAGGGGTATCAGCTTATATACTGGTGGCTCTGTCAGGTCATACGTGTTCATTTAATGTCTAAAGGCCAGGGCCTGCGCAGACCCTGGGTCCTCTCCATATAACGAAAGCAAGGATATAATTAGGACATTCCTCAGACCAAAAGAATAACAGTGACCATCCACTGCATTTAACCTGCTGAGAGCAAAACCAGGCAGATTCTTGTGCTTATTCAGACAACTGAAGAGGAGAACTCTGGGGGGGAAAAAAAGACCCACCTCCGGGGGTCAGGAATGTCACCTTGGGTCCATGGCTGGAGAACACTGGTTTTTCAGGTGCTCTGGGGCTAGTTCAGGAAAAGAGGGAACTCTCAGATGACCTTTCAGGCCAAAGGGAAGGTATTTCAGGGAGGGTAGATGAGGGAGCATGAGCCTGGGGCCCGGCAGCCAGGACGAGGCTGGCCTGATGCATCAGAGGCTCCGTGCGGGAGCCCCGTGGGAAGGTGGGGATTGGGAGGGCTGGACCGGGTCAGGGAGGCTTGAGGGTCTTGTGTTCTGTGCGGGAGGTGGGGGCACAATGGAAGGTTTCTGGGCAGGGGAGACAGATAATAGAAGAGATCTTCGATCGCGGTCCTAGACAGGGGTCCTAGATCCAGGTTCAAGATGACAGTTATTTTTACTCATCTGCCTTAACACATGATGGAAGGCTAGGAACTGACCCCCACCCCTCCCCCCCGCCGCCTCAACTCCCCCCTGGGAGCAGCCAGGGGACGCTCAGTCTTTCTTTCGCCTTTGTCCTTCTTCGGCGTTGTGACAGCCATTGCCAGACTAGCACCGTCCATCAGGCCAGTGTTCTAGAGCTGAAAGCTTGTCTGGGATTGAGGTGGGGTAGTTTCTCTCATGGTAGCAACTAAAAGGGGACGGAGCTGCATCACTTCCTTGGAAAAAGTTCCCTTACAAACTCCTGAAGGACAAGGTCTCCTAGACGATACTATACTGGCGCCCTTGTTACTATGAAATGTATTCCGTTCTGGGCCCTGTTCTCCAGAAGGGGTTCTGAAACATGGACACAGTGCAAAGAGTAAGCAGAGGCTCAGGAGGTGTCTGCAAACCATCAGGTGGGCGAGCTGGCTGGCAGAACGGGTCGCCTGGCCACAAGGAGGCTGAATTCGGAGGGGGCAGGTGACCACTGTCTTCACATGCAGGGCTGGTGTGTGCTAGGACACCAGGGGACCAAGTTAGAACTGAAACAGCGACTCTCCATAGAGGCAAATTTTGCCAAGAAGAACTTTCCAGTAATTGAGATCGTCCTGGAAGGAATGGGCTGCCCTGTGAAGCGGTGAATGCTGAACAGTTGAAGACGGGACTTCTCCATTGGGTGGGAGGTGGAAGCCCCGCCCAGGGCTAAGAGTCAGTGACGTCATGCTTGGAGCCGGGAGGTCTGGCGGGCCACCCACCCTCTGCCTGGGTTACTGAGATGCTCTCAGAGTTGTTGATGGCTTCCAGCTGTATCCAAAACATACACACACTCTCTCCCTCTCTCGCGCGCTCTCTCTCTCTTAACCCTTATGTATCTGAATGGAGCAGAGTCGCATTTCACTCGGACTGCAGAGAGAACTGATGTTAGAACTTCTGCTCTTTTCCTAAACAACTCCTCCCAGACGCTATCTGCCCCCGAGGGCCAGGCCAGCCCCAGGGGGCCGGGGGCTGAGTCTGATCACAGGCTAAAACAATTTGTGGTCTAAAGCAGAGTGCAGTGCTCAGAAGATCCTGTGGTTTTCTTCTCCCTACCACAGGTTGCCTCCTCTCCAAAGCTATTTTCCTTTTATCTTTCATTCTCTTAAATCCTGATATTCACTCAAGTCTGCATGCACTATTTTGAGTCTCAGAATATCTTATTTTTTTCTTTTGAAAGCGATTTGGGGGCTGAAGATGCTAGTGTAGTCTCTCCTTAAATTAGTGAATTGGTCCCTGGGCGTGACTGGACGTATTCACCTCTCCTCCCTTCCCCACTCCACGTCCCCACTCCCAAAAGCATCCATTCCTTTACATGGACACAAGATGGACGCGTGTGTTTTTGGTTCGTAGGGATTTGAATGAGGAGGTGACCAGCTCTGAGAACTGGGATTAAACGTGGGTGTGACTTTGGCTCTCCTGGAAAGCCAACCCAAATCTTCTGGAGTAGAATAAATGGGGATATATCTGGAAGCTTACTGCATGAGGATTATACAGTGAACACCGCTACTGAAAGACTTTAGGGTATACACAGCACATGCAATGGATTTTCCATGAAGTGGTTGTTTTAAAAAGACAAGGGCGGTGGCGGGGGGGGGGGGTGGGCATCTGGGTGGCTCGGTCGCTTAAGTGTCCAACTTCAGCTCAAGTCATGATCTCGCAGTCTGTGAGTTCGAGCCCCGCATCAGGCTCTGTGCTGACAGCTCAGAGCCTGCAGCCTGCTTCAGATTCTGTGTCTCCCTCTCTCTCTGCTCCTCCCCTGCTCACACTCTGTCTCTCTGTCTCTCTCTTTCAAAAATAAACATTAAAAAATTTAAAAAAGACAAGGGAGGAAAATGTTACATGGGAATATTTTGCTTCCTGCTAATCAAGTTCCCCTTTCCCACAAGGGGTGTTTGTTTGTTTGTTTTGTCTCATTTTTTACAAAGGCCAGGAGGTACCCTAAATAAGCTCAGTTTTAACTGCATCCAACTGGTTAGCAAAATCCGTGAATTAACTCAACCCATAGCAGAGAAAAATGAAATCAAGCACATACGCTCATGTACTTTGGAAAAACAGAGTGCAATGGCAAAGTATGGCTAAAGGTCAAATATTGTTAGATTTGTACAGAAAATTAAGCTGGAGAGAGTGAGCTAATTAAAAGTAATTGCCAAAATCACTGGAAAGTGTAATGTCTGAATCCAGCCTCAGGAAGAAGCAGCCATTTGCATTTTGGGAGCCACTTTTCTTTGAGTATAGAAACCACAGTTTAGTTCTTTAAAGCAGTCCCTCAGTTTTCTGTGAAGTAGTCTGTTGTAACCTCTAAGAATCTTTCACCCATCCACTTGTAGCCTAAAGGAAGTGATTTCCCTTTGCATTTCCTCTGAATACTTTTGAACGACTCCAATCTCACAGCTTAGGTTTTCCTTTCCTTTTTCTTTCTCTTCGTTGTTCAGATTCATTTTTGGATCTCCCTTCAGTCTTCTCTGGGTTTTATCTCAACCGTGCAGAGCTAAGACTTCCTTAAGAGAATGAGACAAAATTAAGGCAGCTCAAGAAGCATCATCTTCAGGTCTGAAGAGAGGAAGAAGACATTGGGCAATTGCCCAGAGGTGGGGGGCGGGGGGCATGGTGGATCCCCACTGTCAACCTCAGGGGATAACCTATAAGTCATCAAAAGGTTTTACTGCCAGGAATGTTTGAAGACGTGAACATTTTCACACCAGCTCACGTGAGAACATTGCAGAATCCGCCAAGATTCCTTCCTGGAGGCCCTTGGCGCCAGCCATAGGCAACAGGGAGCTGCTTACAACCCAGATGATTAGAACTGAGAGGTGACCTTTAGTTGCTGCTCGCTGAAGTCCTATATTTGCTGTATGGGTCTCAGAGGGTCTGTGGAAAAAACTGCTACTGTCTGAGTCACTACTTTATGCAACACAGGATCTTAGAGGCAGGTCTCCTGCCTCATCTAATAACAGATCAGGTGATGGGTTATCAGACTGAGTAATGTCACATACAATACGCCAATCACATAGCAGACCAAAGCAAGTAGAATACTTGTTTTCCATTCATCATTTCGCTGACCTCAGGTGAGCTACACTCCTTCTGGAAAACAGATAGATTTCTGAGTCAATTAAGAGAAGCCCTTTGTAAACTTGCCTCCTGGCTGCTTATGAGGAGGAATTATTATAACATATAAGCACTTATGTATAAACAGTTTTGATATGAAATTTGATTTGTTAGAAATTTGAAACTGAATATGGAATTTGTTAGACTGTGCTCTTGAACTCAAGTAAAATCCTATTTTTAAGATAATGATGCAAAAACATTAATTTAATGAAATAAAAATGACCATTAAATACAATTTGAAGATGAACCTTCTCCTTGATCCTGATGCCCCGTGACCAGATCATGTGAATCTTTCCTTGGTAGTGACTTCTTTTGCAAAGCATTCTTGCCCATTTTTCTTAACCGGTCCTTGACCACCTTGAATCTTTGGGAAAAACTATCAATACTATTTTGCTGCTTGTGGAAAAATTCCAGAATCCTTAAGGCCTTTCCCACTCCCCTTCATGGAACTTTTGGGCTTGCTAATACGGCTCCTGGCACTTTTCAAATGCACGTCATCTTGCAAACTTGGCCTGTATCATTTCTCACACCTGGAACCCTCTTCCTTCTATCTGTGTAAATGCTACTACTTTTCAAGGCCCCAGTTTCAGTCGGATCTTCATCTACCTCCTAGAGTATATATTTCACAAAAGCAGGGATTGCTGTCTGCTTTGTTTACTGCTGATCGAGAATGTCTGCTGAAAGAATGAATGAATGAAACTGGTCATTAGCAAATATTATTAGTTTTATTTCCAAATATGCTATTTCTCTCTACCTCCATCTTGGTCCAAGTCACATTTCCTGCCTGGACTATTAACATAATAGCCACCTATCTTGTCGTCTTCCTTCCATGTTGCCCACCCTTTGCCCCAAGCCTTTCTCCATTGGATAGCCAGGGTGATTATTAAAAAAATGTAATCACATTTCATCAGTCTCCTGATTAACAACCTCACTGGCTTCCTATTGCCCTTAGGATAATGTCCAAGCTCCCTGAGATGGTCTACAAGGCCCAAAGGACTTGATCCCGGTACTCCTGTCTACTTAATCTTCTACCACCGTTACTTGGTAATGAAGAGGTGTTAGCCAACAAAAGCCTAGAAGAAGGACCCTCCAGACAGTAAAAGAGCCAGTGCAAAAACCCTGATGTGGGAATGGGTTTGGTGGTTTGAA